GCATTCCTTTAAATCGCAGCACTATGGAGGCAAAGGCAGGCTGACCACTGTGAGTTTGAAGTCAGCTTGGTCTACATACAAAGTTCCAAGCCAGCTCTTACATAGTTGAGAGCTAGTCTTAAAAAGAGTTGCAGCTGCCTGGCATGGTGAAGCATGCCTTTAATCTCAGTACTCAGGAGGCAGAGGCAGGCTGGTCTACATAGAGAAGAACGTGCCTCAAAACAAACAAATAAAAGAAGTTGTGGCTGTAACACTAAGCAAGTGAAGCCCATGTTCCTCTTGTATTGCAGTACAAAGTTGTAGATTTCTGAGACAGTCTCATGCATCTCTGAGGCTACACTGCAAGTTCCAAGGCAGCCTGAACTACACAGTGAGGCCCTGCCTCGAAAGACCAAGAAGCAAGCAAAGAAACAAAAATTGTTAGAAAACCTACATGTCCCTGAGGCGTGAAGATGTGTAAAGAAGCACCTTCACCCTGAAGGAAGGACAGGCTGGAGACACTGCACCAGAACCAGGCGCTGCTCTAGTATCTCCTCCACACCCTGCTCAGTCAATACTGAATGCTCACTGTTCTCCTCTGTGTAAGCAGTCTATACACCTTCTCTCTGATTCAGTATTTCTCTCAAAGCAATGTTAGTGAACCATCTACACCAAGATTAAGTCCTTTTTTTTTTTTTTTTGAGAGTTGCACTTACGTAGTAAACACCAAGCTTGAACTTACAACCCTGCCTCAATCTCCTGAGTGTTGAGATTATAGGTGTGTGCCATGAGACATCTTTATTTGGGGGGGGGGGGAGTTGGTTTTTTGAGACAGGGTTCTCTGTGTAGCTTCTCTGTGTAGCTTTGTGCCTTTCCTGGCCCTGCCTCCTGAGTGCTGGGATTAAAGACGTGCACCACCACCGCCCGGCTGAGACATCTTTTAAATGTACCCATTCCTGAACCACCCCAGAATTTCTGAATCAGCAGCTCAGGAGTGAGGGCCGTACATAGGCCTCAAGGCTTTTGTCTACCAGCACAGTGCCACCGGACCTGGCTTGGCACCGCAGCACGCACAGCACTGCATCTTGAGGGGAGACAGGGCGAGCAGAGGGAAACATACCTGCTCGTGATCCAGCATGGTCAGTCCTTTCACTCCTGCCAGGATAAGATTCTTGGCAATTTCAGCCCCAAGTCCTTTCATGCCGACAATCAGCACCCGGGAAGCTCGAAGCCTGTAGACACAGGCTATGTTAACTTGATGACTCCAAACAGTGGGATGTGTTCAATCACAGGACAATAACAAACACTTTATTTTCACTATACACACTGAAGCACCACTGAACCTTCATATTTAGGAAAATGGGTTCCAAACAATCCTTCAGAGAACATTACTCCTTTTTTGTTTGTTTGTTTGTTTGTTTCTCAAGACAGGGTTTCTCTGCATAGCTTTGGAGCCTGTCCTGGAACTCGCTCTGTAGACCAGCTGGCCTCGAACTCAGAGATCCCCTTTGCTCTGCCTCCCGAGTGCTGGGATTAAAGGCGTGCAACACCACCACCCAGCCTAGAACATCACTTCTTTATTGAGCACCTACCATAACATGCACCTTCTCTATCTACAGTATGCAAACAGCAGTCCATAAGGTAGCTCTTCAAGCACAGACTTGAAGAGTTTTATGGGGCTGGGGTGGTAGAATTTGGCCTTTCACATGAGCTCCTACATGGATCCCAAGAACCACAAAGAAATAAAATTTTAAAAAGGACAAAGGAAGATTCGAATTTTAAACAGAACAGTGATAATGATGAAAACCTTTCAGACCAAGCAGCTGAGGTAGGAAGGATCTCCAGAAGCTCAGTCCAGACTTGATTACAGAGACCTTGTCTCAACAAAAAGAAACCTGGAGGAGGTGCTTTTTAATCAAAGGGAAATACATAACTATCAACATACAGATAGTTGAAAGGAAATCATTCCAACTGTAGAAAACTAAACGTGTAAACACACAAGCTCAGGAAAAGGATGTCTGGGCTCAACATGTTTCAGACACAGCAAGAACAGAGGCTGCAAAGCAGTGCACAAGGAACCCATGCCAGGTATGAGAGTGAGGGGCATGGCATGAGGGCTTGGTGGGCACTAGAGGGTCTGGACTCAATTCTAAGGCATGTGGTGAGATCATGTCACAGTTAGCAGAAGACTGGGGTAGTTATGTACGTGTACCCTCAGACTAGTATGACATCCAAAGAGGTGCTGAAGAGGGCAAGTATATTTACTAGGAACCGGGTACTGAACTCAGGGCTCTTGCATAGAAGGCAAGTGCTTTAGCAATGAAGTATCACCCCAGCTCGGCAAGAGGAACATTATTTAATCTGGAGCACACAAGCAGAACGCATGACAGCATGAAAGTGTGCTTAAGAATGAGAAGGTGTCGGTGCACACCTGTGATTCCAGCACTGGGGAGGTGGAAACAGGGTAAGGGGGTAGGTTCGGAGTCATGTCTGGCCACACAGAAAGTTTGAGGCCAACCTGCGGGTAGGGGAACTGCTTTGATCTCTGTCAAGAGAAAGAAAATGAAACCAAAATAATAATAATAATAATAATAATAATAATAAGTAACCCAGTTGTGAGAGGCAGGATTGTTTCACAGTATCCTGAAAGTCTTGATCCACAACTATCCAAAGTCAGAATTTATCAAGTCTGAGAGGGCAATTCAGACCTTGCTTCTGCACTGTTGGACAAGGCCCTAAGGACCAGGTAGTGCAGTCCATCACAGCCACACTGGGGTTGTGGCGATTCAAGGCTTCTAGCAACCCCAGTGTTGCTGTCCTGGTTCTGTCACACAGCAGACCAGCTCTGTTCAAGTGCCAGCACCTGGAGACCACCAGGGGCTCTTTTCCAAAATTACTCTGATGATCATGAGTGCTTGCTTACACAGAATTACATTTAGGAGCCTTTAATAAGTATAGTAGTCATCAGAGTGCTGGGGTGCATCCCTGCAATCCCAACACTCTAGAGTCTAAGGCAGAAGGATTGAGAGTTTGAGGCCGGCCTTGGTTATGGCACGATATAATTCTAAAGCTACAAACAAAAACAAAGCTGGACACGGTGGGGGAGCACCCTATAATCCCAGGTACTTAGAATTCAAGGTTATCCTATGCTTGAGGTCAGCCTGAGTTTTGAGTCTTTCTAACAAAAAAAGAATCAGCAAGGCATGATGATGCACACCACACTAGTTCATATGACAGCCAACATTATGACTATGTAGTAGAAAGGAATACTCTCAAAAGGAAACTCTAAGTTATCATTTAGCCGGGCTTGGTGGTACTCACCTTTAATTCTGGCATTGAGGAGGCAGAGGCAGGTGGATCTCTGTGAGTTCAAGGTCAGCCTGGTCTACATAGCAAGTTCTAGTACAGCCAGAGCTACATAGTAAGACCCTGTCTCCAAAACACACACATAGATAGATAGATAGATAGATAGATAGATAGATAGATAGATAGATAGATAGATAAAGTTTGTGTGGTGTGTACATGTGCGAGTGAGAACACAGTAAACTTTTAGAAGTTGGCTGGCTCTCTCCTTCCCCCATGGTTTCCAAACAAGCACTTATTGTTTACCAACTACACTCAAGAGGCAGACAGAGGCAGGCAAATCTCTGAGTTCGAGGCCCAGTCTGGTCTACAGAGTGAGTTCCAGGACAGTCAGGGCTAAACAGAGAAACTCTATCTCAAAAAAAGGGGGCAGATAAATGCAGGCACATAACTGCAAATGTAAAGCCATCTTGGTCATCAAACTGAGTTTCAAGCTTGTCAGGATCTCAAACAAAAGCATCATCTAGATTCTAGAGCAATACCTGGCATGTAACAAATGTTCCACAGGTGTTAACAGAGACTTACTGAACTCTTCAAACCCCCCCCCCCACCTTCATTATAAAAGCCTGGCTAGCCATACACTTGAATCTGTATTTTCAGCACCCACTCACAGAAAGAACTGAGACTTGGTCTCATTCACCCCAAGTTGCCCTAAAACTATGTAGCAGAGGACAGCCTTGAACTGTGACCCTCCTGCCTCTCTCTATCTCTAGTACACTAATAGGTGTGCACCCTTCTTGCCCAGCATATGTGGTACTAGGATCAAACCCAGGGCTTCATGCACACAAGGAAGATAAGCAACTGAGTTCATTGCCAGCTGATAAAATCTACAGCTCAGCCAGGTGGTGGTGGCGCACACCTTTAATCCCAGCACTCGGGAGGCAGAGGCAGGCGGATCTCTGTGAGTTCGAGGCCAGCCTGGTCTCCAAAGCAAGTTCCAGGAAAGGCGCAAAGCTACACAGAGAAACCCTGTCTCAAAAAAAAAAAACCTACAGCTGACATTTAGTTGTTCAGAACTTACCTACACACTACTTTACTAGTTTTACCTCCTTACCCCCCAGCATGCCCTCAGCTTTCCATCTCCAGACTTCAAAATCACATTTCACACTCTCTTCAACACATGACCTCTTCCTCCCTAGCCTACTCAAGCTCCCTCACCCCAGTGCTATTCCTCAGCACCCATGCTGGTTAATATTCACTGACAACTTAGATTTAGAATCACCATGTACACACAGCTCTGGGTATGTTCTATGACAGGTTTTGGGTTTTTTGTTTGTTTTTCGAAACAGGGTTTCTCTGTGTAGTTTTAGAGTCTGTCCTGGATCTAACTTTGTAGACCAGGCTGGCCTCAAACTCACAGAGATCCGCCTGGCTCTGCCTCCCGAGTGCTGGGATTAAAGGTGTGCGGCACCACAGCCTGGCCCTGTGACATTTATAGGAAGGTTCAATGGGACGGGCAATGACAGTGGCACACACCTTTAATCCCGAGCACTCAGGCAGACACAGGTGGATCTCTATGAATGAGGCCAGCCTGGTCTACAGAGCTAGTTCTACAACAGCCAGGACTACACAAAGAAACCCTGTCTCAAAAAAAAAAAAAAGTTCAATAGAAGATGGCAGACCTACCCTGACTGTGACACCATCAGTGGAGTGGATCCCCATTCAATAAAAAAGACAAAGAGAGGCTCTTGTTCTACAAGCAAAAGTGCTTTCTGCCTGAGGATGGAAGCCTGAGGACATGAGTGCTATTCTCAGAAGCCACAAAAAGTTAGTAGAGAACCAAGTCCACAAAGTTGCCCTCTAACCTCCCACAGACATTCAGTAATAAATAAATTCCCAGCACTCAGGGGCAGCAGCAAGTAGGATCTCTATGAGTTCAAGATTAGCCTGGTCTACCAAGCTACTTCCTAGACCCTGTCTCAAAACAAACAAAAATAGTAAGTTTAAAAAGGAGGCAGGGGCCGGGCAGCGGTGGCGCACGCCTTTAGTCCCAGCACTAGAGAGGCAGAGGCAGCCGGATCTCTGTGAGTTCCAGGACAGGCTCCAAAGCTACAACAGAGAAACCCTGTCTCCAAAAAAAAAAAAAAAGAAAGAAAGAAAGAAAAAAAAGGAGGCGGGGAACAGAGTACTGACTGTTGACCTTTCCTGACTAGCTGCAGTACCACCAGCTCTCTGTCACACATCCCTGCTGCCTGGCTTTCTTGCCATAATGGACTGTACCCTCAAAACAAATCACAGCAATGAGAAAATGTTAACACACAGGCCTTTCTTTTTAAATTTCTATTATTTTGTGTGGATGTATGCCATGCCCATATGTGGAGATCAGATGAAACTCAGGAGTCCATTCTGTTCTTCCACTGAGACTGAAACCATGTTGTCAGGTTTTGCAGCAAATGCCTTTACCTGCCCAGCCAGTCCTGGGGGCCTTTCCTACCATGGCACACTCAAGGGAAAATGACCTCTCCAGAACTTTCCTTGCAGCAGCAACATTAAAGGTCTCTAACAGGTTTAATAGAGCAGACTTGTCATCCCACCTGCTCAGGAGGCTGAGGCAGGAGGATCAAAAGTACAGAGTGAAGCTAGCTAGCTGGGAGAGGTGGCTCACACCTGTAATGAGACAAAGTGTGAGACCCTGTCTCAAAACACACAGAGAACTGAAAACCCTAAAAAGAGGCTGCTATGTGTACATATTTACAAAAAGAAAAGGGTTCTGACCAGTCTCGGGTAACTGAAGGGCTTCTCCTGCTCCCCACCCCACAACCATTACAACATAGCTCTTCAGAACAAGTGGTCTGGAATTGTTCGCTTTATTCAACAGCAATCAAAAATGAGTATCATATTTGTAATCTTAACCACACAGGCCAGGGCCCCAGAGACTATAGCTTACTTATGGCTCGTTACATGAAAAGGGCTTAAAACACTACCTGGCACACATTCAGCACTGAATGAAGTAGCTATTATTCATAATCTCTGAAGTTGCAATTCTCCATCTAGGAATCAATCCTACAGAAGGACATGAGCATAAAAATTACACACAAGCTTTCAGTGGCAATACTGTAGCCAACAAAGTTTGTGTGAGGCACAATTGAGTTGAAAAACATGCACAACATACACAGAAGTGTACCGTCTTCCCCTGCCCAAACTATATCCTGACCGATGCAAATCATCAGTTCTCACCCACAAAATTCAACAGGACCCAGGAGTAAGCAAGCACATGTAGTTCCAGCTGTGTAAGCTGGGGCAGAAAGATAATTACTTGAACCCAAGAAGAACAAAGCAAGACCCTGTTTCTTTACTTAAAAATAAGAAGATTTATTAATTACTTTGCTGTATTTGCTTGCATGTCATTCTTTTTCCTTTTTTTTTTTTTTGGGTGTGTGTGTGTGTGTGTGTGCGCGTATGTGGTGTGCAGGAGCCACAGAAAGCTAGATCCCCTGGAAGTGGAGTTGTAGGAAGTTGTGAGCTGCCATATGGGTACCAAGAACCGCATTTCAGTCTCCTGACAGAGTAGTTAAGTGCTCTTAACCGAACCATCTCAACAGCCCAAGATCCTGTTTTTTTCCTTTCTTTCTTTGGTTTTTCTAGACAGAGTTTCTCTGTGTAACCCTGTCTGTCCTGGAACTCAGAGATCCACCTGCCTCTGCCTTCTGTGCTGGGACTAACAGCATGCACCACCACCACCCGGCCCTGCTTCTTAAACGTACAAAAACAAAGGAGCTGTGGCTATAGCTCAGTTGGCAGAGTACTTGCCTAGCGTGCACAAAACACGGGATTCCGTCTCCAGCACAGCATAAATGAGGTGTGGCTCACCCTTGTAATCCAAACACTCCAGAGACAGAAGTAGAGGCAAAGAGGATCTCAAGTTCACGGTGATCAAACTGAATGGAAGACCAACCTGGGTTACAGGAGACCCTGTTGAAATACATTTGGCCTCCCTGCCTCCATTTGTCCCTCACAATCTACTGCCCACATTTCAAAGACATGTCTTCTTTGCCCTACTGGGGGTAGAACTCAGGGCTTCATATGCTAGGCCCCTTCTGCAACCACTGATCAGCCCAGACAGAGCTCTTACAATGTGAGCTACATCTTACCACACTGTTCAAAGATTTGAATGGTCTCTCTGCGAGCTGCTTACTGGAAACTCAATCCTGTGGATCCTCTCACTTCAGCTCATTCTACACTCTTTCTTTCCCCTGCTGACCTGCTAAAGCCAAATCAGCTTCCCTTCACAGGAACTAAGGCTACTTCCAACAGAGGACCCTGGCATCAAAGGATCCTAGAAGCCCATAATGACCTTCTAATCTTTGTAGAGTGTTTTTCTTTTTTAGGAAGGAGAGATGAGATTGAGATTAAGTACATGAGCTACTGAGCCCTTTTTTATGCAGTGCTAGAGAGGGAACCTGGGCTTTGTATATGCTAAGCAAGCACTCTATCAACTAAGTTATACGCCCAGCTAACACAGACTTGTCTAATGATGCAGAGAATTTACTGATGTCTTCTGAGTGTAGTTGTTCTTTTTGTTTGTTCGTGACGGGGTTTCACTGTGTAGCCCTGGCTGTCCTGGAACTTGCTCTGTAGACCAGGCTGGCCTCAAATTCACAGAGATCCTCCTGCTCCGCCTCCCAAGGGCTGGGATTAAAGGTGTGAGCCGCTGCCATCGCCCGACCTGTGTGTGTAGTTGTTCTTATGCTATCTCATTTGCTTCAATCTCATAAAGTAGAGTCATTCCTTTTTTCTTCAGAGATTTTACACGTCTGTGTGTTAACATCTGAGTGTATATATGTGAAACATGTGTGCAGTTCCCAGAGTCCCTGGAACTAGTTAAACATGGTTGTGAATCATCATGTAGATTGGAGAGACCACATGCAGGGCTACTGTAAGAGCCGCCAGTGCTCTTACCCCATCATCTACCTCTCTAGCTCCCAACCCACCCACGCCCCCTTTTTTTTAAAGTGAGGGTCTCACTATGTAGCCCTGGCTGGCCTGGAACTCACAATGTAGATCAGCTGGCTTCAAACTCACTGGGAAGAAAGGTGTGTGCCACCATGCCAAGACTGGCCTTGAACTTCTGATCTTCCTGCATCTACCTACTGAGTGCTAAAATGATAGGCATTTACCCACACATCTAGTTTATATGGCATCTACCTCCCTCCTCCACCTCCTGAGCAGTGGGATTACAAGCGTGAGCCACCTCATCAATGCAGTTTTCTGTTTGACTGGAGTGTATTTATGTAGCCCTGGCCTGCCTCTGACATGACTGAAGGCTTGTACCACCTGCCGTGCCTGGCAGTATTTTTGATTTTTGAGGTAAGGTGTCACTGTGGCTCAGAATGGTATCAAACTCATTATGTACTGCAGGCTAGCCTGGAGCCCACTCCTCCATCCCAGCCTCCTAGGTGCTGGGATTTGGGGTGTGTGCCACTACTTTGGAGCCTTATTATTTTGAAACCTTATTATTTATGAATACTGTCCTCAGTCCCCATCAGAACGTAAGCTTCAAGTGGGGAAGGAGCCTATTCTGTTCAATGAAAAATGTTCAGGTAGCCCAAGCATGATGCCTCACCAAGTGAAGTGCTTGTCTTGAAGGCCTGGGGGGAACCCTGGCAACCTGAATTCAAACCTCAGAATCCACATCAAGGTGAAATAGCACAAAGTTGTCCTTTGGCATCCACATCCACACCATGAACACATCAACAAATACATCACATTCTAAAACTTCTCCCCAAAAAATGTTTAAGGAGCTAAGGTGTGGTGGTGAATGCATGTAACCCCTAGCACTTGGGAAGGTAAGGAAGAGGATCTCTGCAAGTTAATTTGTTTTGAGACACGGTCTCACTGTGTAGCTCTGGCTGCCCTGGAACTATAGAGCCCAGGCTGGCCTCGAACTCACAGAGAACCACCAGCCTCAGTTTCCAGCCTCAGTTTCCAGAGTGCCGGAATTAAAGATGTGCAAAACCGTGCCCAGCTAATAATAATAATAATAATAATAATAACAATTGGAAAACGGGAAAGAAGCCGTCTGCGGTGGCGCACTCCTCTAACCCCAGCACTCACTCGGGAGGCAGAGGCAGGCGGGTCTCTGAGTTCCAGGACAACTGTCTTGGGGGGTTGGGGGTGGAGGGACACGGGACAGGACCCATGACAATGTGCTCAATAAATCCGGCCATTCTGAGCCTCTCCAGGCGTCCCTTTGTCAGGACTCGCTCCCAAATCCTCCCCAGGGGAGCCTGTGGGGTGTGCCGGGTCCCCAGGGCGCCCACCCCAGGTTCCCACCGAATGGAAGTCAATGAGCTCAGCCCGCCTCTCTCACGCCCTAAGCTCCACCACCACCCGTGGCCGACTCTGGCGGAGCCTCGGGTTCGAATCCTCCCTCTTCCCCGCCTCCTCCGAGGACACCCGCTCTCTCACCCGGGGGGGGGGCGTCACCACCTCCCACACTTTGCAGAAACACCCTCCATTCGTCCTGTCCGAGTCACTGGGGAACCCAGGTGCGTCCATCACGACGCGGCTTTGCCAACAGGCCCCACCCGCTCCCCCGGGCCCCCCAGGCCGGCTCGGGCCGGCCGCGCCCCTCACCGCTTCTGGGCCTCCAGTCCCCACAGGCGGATCTGCCGGTCATACTGCGCCGCCTCCTCCTCGCTGATGCCGCCGCCGCCGCCGCTGGCCTCTTCCTTCTCCACCATGGCGCCGGCTCTCACCCGCTCCCGCTCTCGCCAACCGCCAGCGGAGCCGTGCGCCGGGCTCGCGTCTGCGCCTGCGCAGAGAGCCGCGTCTGCGCAGTGTGCGCAGTGGCCGCCCCCGCGCACTCCCGGGGACCACGTGGGTTCCCGAGGCTCCCAGGCCCGCTAGCTGCCGCGGGTCACGTGAGGGGGACGTCCATCAATCCCGGAGAGGGACACGAGGGGGAGAAGGGAAAAAAAAAAAGTGGCGGGAGTTTTGGCTCCGCGGGGATGTCCATGTGGTCATTTATGAAGCTGGACTTGGGTTTATCGAGTTCTCGCGGGGAATCCTGCATCGATGGTAGGAATAAATAAATAAAGTGGGCCGGGCGGTGGTGACCACGCCTTTCATCCCAGCACTCGGGAGGCAGAGGGAGGCAGAGGCAAGCGGATATTCTGTGAGTTCGGGGCCAGCCTGGGCTAGAGAGGGAGTTCCAGGACAGGCTCCAAAGCTACACAGAGAAACCCTGTCTCGGAAAACCAAATAAATAGATAGATAGATAGATAGATAGATAGATAGATAGATAGATAGATAGATAGATAGATAGATAGATAGATAGATAGATA